GTCATTGTGGTTTTTATTTACAATTTCCTAAGGACTAAGGGTGGGGAGCGTTTTCTCCTGTGCTTCTTGGCCGTTTATTTATCTTTGTAGGAATGTCTATTCAGATATTTTAAAGTTGGGTTACTTATAATTTTGCTTTTAATTTGCAAAATCTTTTCACATATCCTGGATACACGTATAAGTCCTTTACAGATACTTGATTTGCAAATATTTCCTACCTTTCTGTGGGTTGCTTTTTTACATCTTTATAGTATCCTTAGAAGCACAAAAGATTGTAGCTTTGATATAGTTCAGTATATTTGTATTTTTTTATTTTGTTGTTTGAGATTTTGGTGCTGTATCTGAAAAATCATTGCCCAACCCAAGGTCATAAAGACTTACTCCCATGCTTTCTTTTAAGAGTTTCATAGTTTTAGTATATGTAGGTCTATGATCCATTTCGAGTTAATTTTTGTGTATGGGTGAGGTAGTGGTTTAACATCATTCTTTTGCATGTGGATGCCTAGTTGTGCCATCACCATTTGTTGAAAAGACCATTCTTTCCCCCATTGAATAGGTAAGCTGACCATTCACATGGAGGTTTATACCTGGCCTGTCAATTCCATTCCATTGATCTGTAGGTCTACCCTTATTCCGGTAGCACATGTCTTGATTGGTGTAGTTTTGCAGTAAGTTTTAGAACCAGGGAGTGTAAGTTCTTTGACATTGTTCTTCCTTTTCAACATTGTTTTGGCTATTTGGGATCCCTTGCAATTCCACATGAATTTGAGTGTTGGCTCTACCATTTCTGCTAAGAAGCTAGCTGGGATTTTGTCAGGAACTGTGTTGACTCTGTAGGTCAGTTTGGGAGAAGTGCCATTTTGACAATGTTACTTAAGTCTTCTAATCCATGACATCATATGTCTTTTTATTTATTTGGAAGTCTTTAATAATTTTTAGTTTTCAGTTATAATTTTAATTAATTTTGTTAAATTTAAACCAAAGTATTTTTAATATTTTTGATGCTATTATAATAGTCATTGTTTTCTTAATTTTATTTTCAGGTTATTCATTGATAGTGTATGGAAATATAATTGGTTTCTGTATATTGGTCTTGAATCTTGTAACTTTGTTGAACTCATAGGGTCCAATAGTTTTTTAGTGTTTTTTTTAGGATTTTCTATATACAAGATTACTTCATCTGCAAATTAAGATAGGTACTAATTCCTTTCTTATCTGGGTGCCTTTTCCCTCTTTTTTTGCTTAATTGTTCTGGCTAGAAACTCCAGCACAATGTTGACCAGAGGTGTGAGATCAGATATCCTTGTCTTGTTCTTAAACTCAGGTGGAAAGTATTCTGCCTTTCAGTATTGAGTATGGTGTTAGCTGTGGGATTTTCATAGATGATCTTTATCAGGTTGAGGAAGTTCTATACTACTCCTAATTTAGTGAGTCAATTCCTGGTTAGATTTTATCAAATGATTTTCATATGGTTTTTGTTTTTTATTGTTAGTATGTGTGCTACATATCCTAGGAAAAATCCCGCTTGGTTATATTTATATATGTTGCTGGATACAGCTTATTAGTATTTTATTGAGAATTTTTGTGTCTATATGAGATATTAGCCTGTAGTTTTCTTGTGATTTTTTTTCTTGTTTTCAAGAAAATCAATGTAAGACTGTCTTTATAGAATGAGTTAGAAATTCTTCCTTCTTCTACTTTCCGAAAACATTTGTGAAAAATTGATTTTAATTTTTTTGAGTGTTTGGTATAATTTACTAGTGAAGTCATCTGGGTCTGGACTTTTCTTTATAGAAATAGTTTTAGTTACCAATTTGGTATCTTTACTTATTATGAAATTATTCAAATATATTACATTTACTTGAGTCAGTCTCAGTAATTTTTGTCTGTCCAATAGTTTGTCCCTTTCATTTACATTATGTAATTTATTGGCATTCAGTTATTTATAGTATTCTCTTTAAGTCCTTTTTCATGTCTTCAATTTGGTATGGATATTCTCTTTTCAATTCTGGAGTTCAGCAATTTATCTTCTCTTCATTCTTCAGGCCAGCCTGCTCTTATTTCTTGATTAGTTCAGTTAAAGCTTGTTAATTTTGTTGATCTTTCTGAAGAACCAGTTCTTGGTTCCACTGATTTATTGTTTTGCTGTTCCCTATTTCTCTTATCTCTGCTATGTTTCCCTCTGAGCGGTGCTTTTTCTGAATCACATAAGTTTTTTTATTTTATCTTAAAGATTTTATTTATTTTTAGAGAGGGGAAGGGAGGGAGAAAAAGGAGAGAAACATTAATGCATGGCTGTCTCTCATGGGCCCTGTACTGGGGACCTGGCCTGTACCCCAGGCATGTGCCCTGACTGGGAATCAAACTGGAGACCCTTTGGTTCACAGGCCAGCCCTCAATCCATTGAGCCACACCAGCTAGGGCAGAATCACATGTTTTTGTATGTTGTATTTCATTTTCATTCATCTCAATGTATTTTCTCCTGTATTGATTTCTTCTTTGACATATTGCTGGCTTAGGAACATATTGTTTAATATCCATGTATTTGTGAACTTCCCAAATTTCCTTCTGTTACTGAATTCTCATTTAATTCCATTGTGGTTTGAAAACATACTTTGTATGATTGCAATCATTTTAAATTTATGAAGACTTGTTCTATGTCCTAGCATATGATTTCTACTGGAGAATGTTCTGTATGCACTTGAGAAGAATGCCTATTATGTTGATGTTGGATGAAGTGTTTTATAGATGTCTGTTAGTTGTATTTGGTGTAGAGTATTGCTCAAATATTTATTTTCTTATGGATCTTTTGTCTAGTTTTTAAAAATTATTATTTTATTAAATTATTTTATTAATTATTTTATTAATTATTTATTATTTTATTGTTCAATTACAGTTGTCTGCATTTACCCTCCACCACTCCCCCGAACCCCAGCCATCCCTACCTCCCTCCCTTGCTTCCACCTCCTGCCCTTGGTTTTGTCCATGTGTCCTTTATAGTTGTTCCTGAAAACCCTTCCCCCTTCTCCCCATTATCCCCTCCCCTCTCCCCTCTGAACTCTGTCAGTCTGTTCTTTATTTCAGTGTCTTTGGTTACATTTTGCTTGTTTCTTTGCTTTGTTGTTTAGGTTCCTGTTAAAGGTGAGACCATATGGTATTTTGTCTTTCACTGCCTGGCTTGTTTTGCTTAGCATAATGCTTTCCAGCTCCATCCATACTGTTGCAAAGGGTAGGAGCGCCTTCTTTCTTTTTGCTGAATAGAATTCCATTGTGTAAATGTACCACAGTTTTTTGATCCACTCATTTACTGATGGGCACTTAGGTTGCTTCCAACACTTGGCTATTGTAAATTGTGCTGCTGTGAACATTGGGGTGCATAGGTTCTTTTGGATTGATGTTTCAGGGTTCTTAGGATATAATCCCAGCAGTGGAATTCTACTTATTATTAAAAATATGGTATTGATGTATTCAAATTTTGTATAATTGTCTATTTTTCTTTTCAATTTTGTCAGTTTTGCTTTATGTATTTTGAGGTGCTGTTGATGTATATTTGCTCATAATTTTTATATCTTCTGGATGGATTGATCCTTTATCATTATAGAACTTCCTTTTCATTTCTAGTTACATTTTTGTTTTAAAATCTGTTTTTATCTTTTTAGATATAAGCATAGCAACTCCAGTTTTCTTTTATTTATTATTTGATGATGGTTTACCTTTTTTAACTCATTTGTGCTTAGTGGACAGTTTAAAAAATGATTTCAATGTTACTTATTCTTAAATGATCATATAATACAATTCACTTTTTTCTTTGGCTGTACAGCTTTATGATTTTAGACACACAGGTAGATATGTGTAACCATGCCCATAATAGCATAAAAATAATTCTATCACCCCCCCAACACATTTGCATTGCTTCTTTACAGTTCACCTGTCCTGCAAACCCAATCCCTAGCTCACAGTGATATTCTCCCTAGTGGAGGATTCTTATTACATTATTATTATTGCTGTTGTTGTTGTTGTTATATCATCATCATCACCATCACTATTATTTGACAATTGTTTTATTGATTAACCACTGACGATAGTCTTCTTCATTTTCAACCCTTCTGGAGTTTGGGTTGAGTCAATGGCCACATTAGCATGAGGAGTTTAGGGCAGGCGGGATTACTTGCTGGGCTGTCATATTGGTTAGAGTCCTGTAAATGAAGTAGTCTGAGAAGAGTTGATACAAAATAAAGAGGAAGCTGAGACCTGAGCCCCTTTTAAAAAAATCCTCACTTGAGAATATGTTTATTGATTTTAGAGAGAGAAGAAGGAAGAGAGAGTGGGAAATATCAATCCCATATGCCACATGGGACAGAACCCACAGCCTAGGTATGTGCCTGGATTGGGAATTGAACCCACAACCTTTGGGTGTATAGAATGATGCTCCAACCAACTTAGCCACCTGGTCAGGGTGAGGCTTGAGTGTTTCTTAAGGGTGGGTACTTTCCACAAAGGTTGGAGACAATTCTACAGCATTGTTATGTTACCTGATCTGAAAAGTAGCCTGGAAATTCAAGGTCTTTGGTGACAGCTGAGCACAAGCTGGCAATTGTAAATGGTTCTTGGGTATGTCTGGAATCCTCCCCCTCTCCGATTGGCTTTGGAAAGCAAACAGAGTATAACAATAGGAGTTCTGGAATGTTCCTTCGTGGGGCTGACCTTTGTATTGCTGCTAAGCCATGTCCTCTCTTTTCAGAGGTAAGAGATTAAGTTAAAACTGGATGGGAATCTTTGAAGGATGTGACAGGATTTTCCCCTCTCCTCCCCTTTCCCACTTTGACCTTCACACTTTCCCAACAAGAAGAGGAAGGCAGGAAGTTTTCCCTGTGGGTTTTTTCTTTGTGACGACATGATGGGGCAGGTCCATCGATGGGGAAAACCCCGTGGGAGAACACGCCTTTTGTGTACATTCCCAATATTTGCTATAAGTAGTGCCATCTAAGCCTCAGGTCGACACCAGAGCTTAGCAACTCTCCCAGGGCTCTGGGTACTCAGCACTGTGCACAGCTGTCCTGTGAGCTGAAAATGATGAGCAGTAGCAAGTGTTTGCTCATGGCTGCTTTGATGTCACTGCTGCTACTCCACCTCTGCAGCCAGTCAGAAGGTAAGTGTCTCTCTTCCTGCTTGCATGGAAGAAAGGACTAGCTTCATTTACCTCTGAGCCTTGAGCTCATCTGAGAGTCCCCAAAGGAAGGAAGCCTGTTAGAAAGTCTTCAAAAGGAATTGATGGGGGGGGGGCGTGTTGTCAGCTTATTGGTGAATGAAGATGGGAAGGGTTCTTGCTGCTTATCAGGCTTTTTCCTCTGTGCTGTCCACCCCAGCAGATTTTGGGGGGTAGGCAGCCTCAGAGAGACCCCTGAGCTCCAGCATTCTGCCAAAGCGCTATTTCTGGGAGTGATGTGAATTGGGTAATATTGCCAGTGAATGAAGTCATTCTGAAATGTAAGGAGTGCTTTTACATCCCCAACTTTCTCATCTCCCAATTACTTTCAGTGAAGTTTAAAGCTCATCCTTTGTGGCACCTGATTCTTCATTTCTGCAAGGCCTCTGGGACATCTCTTGCCAACTTTGTGATAACTTTTGTCCTCGTCTTACATCAGATTATAATGTGACTTGGATGAATGTCCAAGTAGTACTTTATTGCTGTAAGAGGACACCACTTTTAGCAACAGGTGTATTCCTAAAAATGAACCTGTTGGACTTTTATGAACAAAATGCAAAACTTCCATTAACTATTATAATTTCTGTAGCACTATAACTAGTGCTCTAGGTATAGCTCCTATAAAAGCAGCTTTTATAAATCACATTTTCCTTTGTAAAATCTTATCTTTCCCCTCAATACTCAGTAGCCAGGTAATAGATGGAAACCTGCCAATTTATTCATTTTCTGAATTTGGAAGTTTATCTATGAGAGTTTCTTCAAGTGGAAGTTACTCATATTCTCGAGTAATTATAATGGACTGAGCTAAGACAGTTTGTGTTTTATAGTAAAGATACTCCTTTTATGACAAGTTCTGTGCTTCTAAACTATATTATTTGAATTCCCCAGCATACAAACTATTTTCCAAGGGACTGGAAACTATGTTAAATTAGGTCTCAGAGACACTGGAACTGTTCCTCTAAATAGTCTATTTACCCAGTCCATCAGATTCCAGGTTTTCCACAACTGCAAGGAGTTTCCTAATACCCACCACAGAAGAGTCTGTTCCTGTGGGCTCAAAGCCTTTCATTTCTTTTTAACAGCAATGGCCTTTGACTGCTGCCTGCGGTATACGCGTCGCGTACTTCGTACCAGAAATATCAGGGGCTTCTCGAGACAGTACGCCAATGAAACTTGTGACATCGATGCAGTCGTGTGAGTTACTAATCGATTCTATTTCAGGAATAAAAAGTTTTTGCCTTTTTGGCCTTTCCTACAGAAATAACAAATGCGGCAAAGGTAGCTTTGTTTTAGGAGTGTATGCCTATTTCAAAGCTCACTTGTTTATATACATAGAAACAAATGTATATAAACATATATATTTCATTGTATTCAATGTATTGGGGCATAGAGTTATATAACATTCGAATGTCCAGTTCTGTAGTACGTCATCTGTGTTTTGCACCGGGCATTCACCACCCAAAGCCAGGAGCCCTTCTATGATGACAGAAGGAGACTTGACTCAAAACTCACTTTAATTAAGACTAGGATAAGGCACAAGTTTTGTTTTCAAAAAGAAGCATAGTAGGGGTAGGATCACTTTCTAAGATAAACTTATAGGCTACTAAAGTGCTGTCTCAGGAAAATGTGGAAGACGTAGACTTTAAAATGAGCATATTGTGCCAGGGAATGGTTGAGGCTGTAAGTGGAAATTCAGAGTAATTATACTGTCATTCCAATATTCTTGATATATAGAGGATATTATACTTTGGAATTATATATATAATATATAATAATATATATATTCTGGGGCTTTCTTTTTCTGCCATTGCATAGCAATTTGTTCAATTGTAGAGAAAGTCAGGGAGCGTCCCTTTCATTTCTTGCATCAAGCTTTATTGGGACAGTTTTTTTTTTCATTTTGTTTCACCTCTGAAATAAATGAAATGTTTAGTGTATAAAGCCATCAATTAAGATATGAAATTTCCATTGCATGTTCTGTGAAAAAGCCACTTAAAACTCTTTAAACACAAGTCAAATTTTCTGATTTTTCAGCTTCTACACAAAGAACGGATGGGCTGTGTGTGCAGATCCAACGAAGAAGTGGGTGACGCATGCCATTTTCGTCCTCAGGTATGATACAGTCACGACCTACTAGCCTCTCTGCAAACGTGTGGGGCAAGAGCGATGGACAGAGTGGTAGATCCTGGGCTTGCTGGGATGTTTTAGCCTAAGCACGGTGGAAGTTTGAAAAGGGAAACTGGAGCTGGACCATCCAAACAAGAATTCAATTGTTTCCACCTACAAAACTTTTTTATTTTTGAAAATTTAATCTTTCACATGATGTATTTGATTCCTCTCTGCATTTGATATCCATGAGCTGTTTGATTCTTGTGGCAGAAATGTCTCCTGTTTATATAATTTGCAGACTTCACGACATTCGTTTGTTAAAAACTGAGAAATAAACAGTGAGAAAGAGAACAGTGGTTCTGATTTACACTGACGATAAAAGAGTCACATCTTATCACCAGATAGAAGCCCTCTAACACCAGGGCGCTATAGACACAGAATTCAAAGACACAATGCAAGTGTTCACATCCTGTTTCTGTCATTAGCTCACTGAGTTTTGGTGGGTAGGGCTCTTCCTTTCTCAACTTCGGTGTCCTCATCTGCACTCAGGGCTGCTTCGCACCCCGAGATGAGAACAGGGAATGAGAGGCCATTGTGAGGCATGGGAGCACTTCCCACCAACTGGTCATTCTGTCATTGCTTATTGATTTCTTCTCTTTCTCTTTACAGCCAAAATGAGAACAGCCTGAAAATGTGATGCTCTCTGGAAGGGGATTGGATACAGCTGAAGAATAAAAAGAACCCCGCTGGGGTTGGTGGTTTCACGTGCACGTTGTTGAGGGTTTATCACTTAACTGATTTGTGTCATCGGACTTGTCCAGTTAACGAAGTTGATACCCATTGCATCATACTTTGCTTTGTTAAGCATTGCATCAGAGTCAAGCTATTTTATGTTAAGTTATTTATATATGTGGGCTTTGTGTATGTGTTTTGCTATTTAATAACAATTTCCCATGAACTATTTAGTACAATGTGTAAAATTGTGCACTGGAGAAATAAGATTATATGAACTTTTTTGCAAGCAGTAGACCTGTTTTTTTTGTTTTAAAGTATTTAACATTCTCTGTTTATATCATTTTCCCCTAAATTGTTGTAATTACCTATAAAAGATAAAAATGATGAGAATAAATATTAAAAATAAAAGAACTGAAAATTGTTTGTTGATTGAGTGGTATAGCATTTAAGGTATATTAAAAATATTTAAACTATAGTAGGAAATACAAACATTTTCTGGAAAATTGCATTCCTCATTTTCTCCTACCTAGTTATTCCCTTTATCTCTCTCCCTCATGATCCAGGACTTCATTCTATATGAATTACAATGGAAAGGGTTTCTTTTTTCTTCAAAGTCATCCAAACTGGAAATTAGAAAGATCCTTATAGCTGAGATTCATATCACAGTGTTTAGCGATATAAAATTTTTTCCTTTTTATTTATTTTTATCCCTACATTTTATTTATTCACTAAAAATTTTTATTATTGTTTAAGCTAGTAAAAACTTTTTAAAAAGAACAAATTGCACCCATATAACTGCAGGATCAAAGTCCGTTGATTTAAAAGTCTTGGAATACATGGATATTTTAGAAGATTTTAAGAGTGTTATATCATTCTTAGATATCTGGCCCTTCCTATGTTTAGACCATTGAAAAGGACAAAATTCTGCAAAAAATTAACTTAAAAATGCACCTGTATACTTTGTGACTATAGGAACAGAACAACCATTTTAATAATACCTTGAGAAATCACTTAGTCCGTCATTTTACCACCAGCCAGGGACCCAGAAATGGGCATCTCAGCGCAGGAACATTTCTCTACTTCAGAAGTTCTGCTGAGTCATCTTTCAGCTGTTTCCCAAAAAGAATGTGACCGCGTGAAAGGTTCTTAGAACCCAACAGAGTCTCATTAGCCAGAGGAGAGACGTCAACTTGTGAAACTTAGCAGGAACGCAGAAATCAGACAAACGGATGCTGAAACGTGTGGTGGCCAAAGCTCAGGATGTGCCTCGTCCCCACACTCAGGACAGTCTGCCTCAGATTCCAAAGGCTACTGGAAAGCTCCCTGCAGGCAGGAACGCTGATGATAGGACGCAGAGCCTAGACACACAAATCTATGAAGCCGGGCCGAGATGGATCACTTCGTGGAGAGCCAAGAGCTGTTAGTGGCTCAATAGGCCCTGAAGACATCTCCGTGCTCAGGAGGAATAACATTGAATCATCAGGGAAAGTATGCTCAATATCCTGTTTATTTGTTCATCCAACGTGGGTTTAGTACCTATGATAATGCCAGGCACTGAGCCAAAGGAAACTCGAGATACCAAGTGAGGACTTGGTCTTTGCTCCCAGGTAATCAGGGTTGAGTGTAGTTAGGAGGAGGGGATGACAGTGAACCAGCTATTATGACACATGGTGATTAGCACTTGGATAACGAAAATCACAGGGTGCTGTAGGCCATCAATAGTGAGGGCGTCCAGAAGGAAATCGGAAAGGAAGACTATTCCGTTGAACCATATTAACAGCCAGTGTTCAATGCTGTTGAACTACGAAGATGGCATTTGTACATGGTTCAGCCCAATACTTGAGCTGAGGCCTGAGGGGCCACCCAGTTGAAAAGGGACAGCAGGGGCTGTTTGGAAATATCTGGAGACATATTTTATTTGTCAGATGGTCTGCAGGTGGGGTACTATAGGTGTTCAGTAGGCAGGAGATAGGAATGCTAAACCTATTAGAATGCACAGGACAGTCTTGCACAATAGAAGTGTCCCACACAATACGTCAATCACGCCACCGACTGAGCAATACTGGGTAGGGCGGGTATAGGGGTGGAGCAGTTGAAGATTAAATGAAACTGTTACTTCAGCTATGTATAGTGGTTTGAACTTGAACACGGAAACACTGGGGAACCATTGAAAAAGTCAAAGCAAGAGAAAAGGCAGGTAGGATGGAAAATGGAAGCAAAGGGACCAGGGAGAGCTTCAGTGAACACGGTGAGAAATGGCAAGACTTCAGAAAAGCCATGCAGAAAGAAGAGTGCAGAAGAGAAAGGCTGTGATTCCTGAGAATCATCCCAGACCACCCCCCATCACACCTCCTCCAGCCACCCGCCCTTGGAACAGCCTCTCCCGAGAGGGCCATTGGTTGATTGCTGGGAGGCCTCACCAGGTGAGCCCAGCAGAGCCAGAAAAGGAAGCACATTTTTCTGGTGCTCCGAAGGTGTCTGAATGTTTTGGGACCAGGAATACTAATAACTACTAGCTGAGTTCTGGAGACTGAAATTTCTAGGTCAAAATGCCAATTACTAATCACAATGCCAACATTCCAGTGTCAAGTGCATGAGTATAAATAAGATCTTCCTGGTTTAGAATGTGGTTCAAGTATTCTCTTTTCTTGTGAATCATCTGTCCAGTTTTTCTACTTAATACTGAAAATGTGGCATTGACATATCCAAGTTTTATTGTTGAATTGTGTGGTCTTCCCTTTAATTTGGTCAGTTTTTGCTTCATATACCTGGAGGTGCTATATCGTCCAGATGGATTGATCCTTTATCATGATGGAACTTCCTCTTCATTTCTAGTTACGTGTTTTTGTTACTCCAGGGATTTTTAAAAACACAAAAACAATGTCATTAGCAAAGATGAAAAGATGAACACTAAATTCTTAATATCACCAAATATTCAGTCAATGTTCAGATTTTTCCATTTGCTTAAAAAAAGATTGTTTTTCATTTTTTTGGTGGTTTATTCATTTCACTGAAGTTCCAGGAAAGCTCCTGCACTGCGTTTGTTGCTCCTTTTTACTTTTAATCTGTGTTTGTTGCCATCAAGCTTGCCCCTTTCTCTTTTTCTTTTGCAAGTTGTTTTGGAGAAGCTGGGGCATTATTCTTAAGTTTCATACCTTCTGGGTTTTGTCGATTGCATGTCTATGCCGTCATTTAGCATGCCCCTGACTTTCAGTTGGAAATAGAAATTGAGTTAAAGCTTGAATCGGGGAGGGGGACGAGACCATTGCACAAGTGATATTCCGGTGTGAACTTGTCTAACCCGATGCCAGTCACAGGAATGAAAGGGGAGGCTGTGAGCCTGTGCTAAAGTCTTCAAGAAAAGTGAAGAACTGATCAAGGCCTGCCATTCATAGCCAGAGGGAAGGAAAGTCGATGGTCAGAATGTACTTCAAAGGAAGTGACGGGGAAGGTGTGTAGGGTTGGAGCCTTCCCATCAAGGAAGCACAAGAATGCTGGTCTCCACTTGCTCCTAACCCTGTGGTTGTCTTGAGAAGACCTTAGAGGAGGTGATGTTCTTGTCATAGACTCAGGTTTCAGCTAAGGCAAGGAGACGGGAGTAGAGGATGGAAGGACAGGGAAGAGTTGCCAGATGCAGCTGGCATGGGGGTGAGTTGGAGCCACACAACAGCATTGGGAGGGAGGCATTAAGAAGTAAGAGAAAGGACAGATGAATGTGAGGGTGTGGGTTTGGGGTGTAATCATGTCATTTATAACACTGAGATGTTAGGCACTAAGTGCTAATATCAGTTGCTACGATTGCTAATGCATTATCTCATTTATACATGAGGCAGGTGCTATTTTTATGTCATTGTGTGAATAGAAAAACCGAGGGTACAGGAATTAAGGAACTTACCCATGATCACACAGGCTTTAGAGATATGATGGAATTAGTTGGTGTCAAAGTTTCAAAAGGCATCTGGTATACAGGGGTCTCTGTGTCAGTGAAGACAGTAGCCCCTGTCGTGTCTGATGCTCCTTGATGTTGGTTCTTTTGTTGGTTATTTGTCATGCTAGTAGTCACCTGTGTGCTCTGCTGTTTTAGAAGGAATTAAAGTGTTAGGATATAGAACATTTTACCTGGTGTTGTGGTGTTTTCTTTTTTTTTTTCATCAAAAACCTTAAGAAGTCTGTTTCTTCCAGGGGAGAACGACACTTATGATGTGGGAGCTTCATTCACTAAGAGCACTGGGCAGATCAGACTCTGGTGCTTTTCCTTCCTGTTAAATCATGGTTTACTGAACAGAAGTTATGTTTCCTCCCATTCGATCAATAGGTATTTATTGAACACCTGCTGTGTGTCAGGCACTGCCCTGATCACTAGAGACGAGCAAAACAAAGTCTCTGCTTTCATATGACTTACAGAAGGACAGACAAAAGGCAAACAGGTGCCTGAAGAAATATATAATATGGAAGAAAATTAAAGTCATGAAAAGGTGGCAGGGGGTGGGGGTGGAGTACCTCTCTGTGTTTGTGAAAGCTCGTAATAATTTACCTTATTTTTCCCCAGAAATGATTCTGATGTCTCCCTCTTGGCTGAGAAAGGAACCTACATGAGGTAAGAAAGACAAATGGGATTCAACCCACCTAAGAGGTGGTCTCAATTTTCTGAGATAAAATAGGCGATGGAAGACTGCTGCACTAGGCCTTGGCTTCCTATGAATGAAAGGTTAGACCATGGATGAGAATCCCCAGCACTATCAACCATTCTTCATTGGGTTGACCTTTTTTTTTTTAACTTACCACGTATTGACTCTACTATGGGGCTAACTCAAGGGAGAAGAACTTAAATATGACTTCAAACTCACTTGGTGATTGGATTCGCACACCACAACATTCTTTCTATCCATAGAATTTGGTGATTTTGCAAATCTGTTGTCTTCCTCTGGCTGTAACTCAGTCAACACAGATAGACAGTATTTAAGACGAAGTTGGCACAGTTGTGCGGTTACAGAACCCTCGCTCTAGCAGGATACCACGTAGTCTCCATTTCTTTCATTGTTGGAATCGAGGCACTTTTAACAGTAAGTGGTCACAAGTTTGAAAAGCTAGTATGGGAAAACTTTTTCACTCTTCTTGTTTCCCTTCTCCTTCACTTGAATACCAATAACCTTATGTTAAGTGTAAATTCACCTACATTCCAGGGGAAAGTGCTGGATTTAGATTCATCCAGTCTCATATCACAGTGCATTTGGAGCTTAAAGTAAATTCAGGGAAGACAGGAGCTGCTGGATTGCTGAGTCATGAAATGCAGAGGCCGGCTCAGGGGGTTACAGGATCCAGAGAATGAGGGTCTCTTATGGGCTGAATTGTGTCATCTACTCAAAATTCATATGCTGAAGTCCTAACCCCTGCCACCTCAGAATGTGACCCTATGCGGAG